ACATGATTGCAGGTGTACACGCTTTGTTGTGGTTGCAGGGGTCGAGTCTCGGCTCCTGGCCACACTATTTCTGGTCTCATTGGCTTACCATATCTACTCTTTAAACTGTGTATGGAATCTGTTCTTTAATGCGAGCTTCTGGAGGGTACAGGTGCTGGAGGTTACAGGTGCCGGAGGTTACAGGTGCCGGAGGTTACAGGTGCCGGAGGTTACAGGTGCCGGAGGTTACAGGTGCCGGAGGTTACAGGTGCTGGGTGCTGGAGGGTATATGTTCTGGAGGGTACAGGTGCTGGAGGGTGCAGGTGCTGGAGGGTGTAGGTGCTGGAGGGTGCAGGTACTGGAGGGAAGTAGTCCGTTAAGTGACCTTCCCTTAGGCGGGAACTACATGGCAGGGCTGGTGGGGGGTGGTGGGGTGTAGTGAATGTGAGGGTGTTTGGGATACCAGGGTAGGGGTTTTGGGGACACGACGGTAAGGGTGATGGGGAGACGAGGGTAGGAGTGATGGGGAGACGAGGGTAGGAGTGATGGGCAGACAAGGATAGGAGTGATGGGGAGAGAAGAGGCGAGGGGTAAGGGTCGGCCTGGAAAGCAGGTAGTGGAGCAGTAAGAAAAAATCCGTGAGAATTACCGGTATAGAAGAAATTAATAGTAAATAGATGTGAATCAATGGTTTAGAAAACCGACAAATTAATAAATGAGAGACTGTATATAAAATTAACTAGGTTCGGTGGTACCTGCACGTGTCACTAGTTGCATGAATCTTTTACCAGTTACAGAACACCAGTGGCGTGCATCGAGGTAAAGGAGGCCAGGCTTATGGAATATGGTGATACATTTCTGAGATTTCACGGCGCCGAGCGACGGAAATACTGCTAGTTTTTGTTGTTGTTGCAGAGGTACCCAAGTATATCCAAGTCGTCTTGCAAATGTGGTATATTTGCTTTTATTCATCTGTGATGGAGTACTGGAGTGTTGATGCATTGGAGTACTTTATCATTACCGTAATATTTGATGGAGTACTCCATTTTTTGTGGCATAGTTCTGTTATTTGTTATCTTCAGTTATTGGAACACTGCCCAGGGCAAGCAAGGGCTACTGCCTCGCTCGCAGTGTTCTACCTCCAGCTAGAGTGTGACTGGTTGGCTGCCTCTCATGCTACACTCCGAGTAGTAAGCTGGGAGACAGCTACGCTGAGGACAAGGAAGCAATCTGACGTATTTTACCCCCTTAATAATCCCGAGCATCTGGAGGCCAAATCGAAACATTAGATGTCTTGAATATTTATGACCGTGGGATCTTTGTTTTTTTGGAAAGTTTAAAGACCCTGGCAGAGACATGATAGAAGGAATAGTTTGTGTTTGAGAAAAGTTTAAAGACCTCGTCTAATATTGGATAGCTGTGTTGTGTGTTTATGGAAATGTTAAGGGTGTCAGTAAGCACCATCGCGGAGACCAGCATCATGACCGTCTCAGGAAGCAGCACTGGTGTGTGAGTTAGAGAGAACATAAAGTATTACCGTGATCTCTTGTCATTTTTCATTCCCCTTACTCTCTCTCTTCTCCAGCCAGCTGTCTCTTCGTTAGGGAAAAGTGTATTATGCAGGTGAGGCTTCTGGTGTTTTCCCTCTGGGAGTTAATGGTTGGATCTCTCTGTTTCCTCTTACCCGTGATGGTGTCTATTACAATACATTTATGTATATTAAATTATTTCTTCCATTCGTGGTTCCGGTTGTTGAGTTTACCTTACTCTTGTCTATAGGCAGTTTGTTAATAGAAAGAAAGAGCATCACTCTTTGTGAGACCCCACAACCTGCCCACAGCGTGCGTGGGCATACCAACAATAAAAAAAAACTAGGATATGGTTCCTATAGGCCATCACAAGTCATTCACAGTGTAGTATTTGACGTCCTTTTCCAGGTGCTCGTCTTTCTCTTTATCATTAGTCTTCCTTATCCTTAACTAATGATTCTAATCTCATCTTTCACCAAATTCTTTTATCCTCCCGGTTCTCCTGTCCTCCGCCTAATCTTCCCACTATCAGTTCTTCACCTCTGAGATAATGCCCTAAGAAGAACATAATTAAAAGCTTCCTATTAAGATAGAAAATCACTGCAGGTACAAAATGACCGTCATGACAACACGACAGCCACTGTGGGCGGGGAGGGAAGAGGGACTGGAGGAGAAATGATTGTGGAGGGTGTTAGGAGGTTGAGTGATGTATGATGTTCAATGAGGACAAATTCCAACTACTCCGTTATGGAAAACTGGAGGAGATAATAGCTAGAACAGAGTATACTGCAAACTCTGGCCATACAGTAGAGCGGAAAAATAATGTAAGGGACCTGGGAGTAGTAATGTCTGAGGATCTTACTTTCAAGGATCACAACAGTGCCACGATCAAAAGTGTAAAGAAAATGATAGGATGGATAATGAGAACGTTCAAAACGAGAGATGCCAAGCCAATGATGATCCTTTTCAAATCACTTGTTCTCTCTAGGCTGGAATACTGCTATACATTAACATCTCCATTCAAAGCAGGTGAAATTGCAGATCTAGAGAGTGTACAGAGATCCTTTACTGCACATATAAGTTCTGTTAAGCACCTTAACTACTGGGAACGCTTGGAAGCACTTGACTTGTACTCGTTGGAACGCAGGAGAGAGATATATATCATAATCTACACTTGGAAAATCCTGGAAGGAATGGTCCCGAATCTGCACACAGAAATCACTCCCTACGAAAGTAAAAGACTGGGCAGGCGATGCAAAATACCCCCAATAAAAGTAGGGGCGCCATTGGTACACTAAGAGAAAATACCATAAGTGTCCGGGGCCCAAGACTGTTCAACAGCCTCCCATCAAGCATTAGGGGGATTACCAATAAACCCCTGGCTGCCTTCAAGAGAGAGCTAGACAGATACCTAAAGTCTGCCGGATCAGCCGGACTGTGGCTCGTACGTTGGACTGCGTGCGGCCAGCAGTAACAGCCTGGTTGATCAGGCCCTGATTCACCGGGAGGCCTGATCATGGATCGGGCCGCGGGGGCGTTGATCCCCGGAATAACCTCCAGGTAACCTCCAGGAAGAGAGGGGTGTTTGGAACTGGAGAGAGAGAGAGAGGGAGGTGAGCTAATTTGCTTGGGAGGGATTTGGGAAATCTGGAGGAAAAGTGTTGGAGACTGGGGAGGAAGTGTTGGAGATCGAGGGAAGGGGAGCTGGAGTATGAGACCGAGACTTTCTGGGATTCTGAAATTGTGAGTTCCGAGTTGGGGGTCTGATAGATGGTTGGCGTCAGAGAGTTTTGGTTATCAAAGATCATTAGTAGTAACAGTTGTATCTAGGAATTGATGGGGGAGGTTACCTGGATACCTGGAGGTTACCTGGAGGTTATTCCGGGGATCAACGCCCCCGCGACCCGGTTCATGACCAGGCCTCCCGATGGATCAGGGCCTGATCAACCAGGCTGTAGGGTATAGCAGAAACCTTACAGTAGGCTCTGTAGCAGGGTAAACAGCCACATGGCCACCGATAACAGCTTTTCTCTCAAACAAGTGACGGTCACATGGACGCCAGATAATTACCACCGTTGTGTAAACAATAACATTGGCGAGATCTTTATCTCCCTTTCCAAGTTACGCAGAATATATTGCCGCCCCGTTTATATTTTCTTGCGGGAAGTCTTAGTCCTGTTATAGTACAGATTTGTTCAGCCTGTGGTATAGATTTAGAAGATCCAGGAGCTGTTAATCTATCCACACTGCACTAGAACGTGGATCTCTGGTGATCCTCAGGACTTGTCGGATGTCGGGTAATGAACGGGCAGATATTGAGGAGAAGGCTGTTGTATCGAACTCATTATATAGGTGACTTTTGTGTGTAAATCATGCACAGAATACTTAATGAACTGATGGTCACAGTGTTGTAACTTTCGAACAATTCCCTCTTGCTTAAGGGATTTCAATCTTTCTTTGTATGAAAAATTTCTTAAGCAATGGGTTAATTTTGTCATACTTCTCAGAATGTTTTCTAACGAATTTTTATCCATTCTGTAATACGGAGACCTAAACTGAGTTGCATAATCTAAGTGAGGGGAGGGGGCAAACTTCACACTCCAATATGGAACAGAAATCTGCGGAGGTCTGTCCAAGCCGAATATTGAGAAACATGAATCTTTAATCTTTAATGCAGTTTTTTTTCTGAAAACAAAAACTCTTAACATTACCCAAATGATGATTACCCGCATTTCCCTGCCGCGTTCGCCATGTTGCTTCACTACTGTCACGTGAATTTTCCCATTTAAACCACGAAGTATCTAAAAACTACGTATTTAAAGCACTTAGATAACGTATGTTTACATGTCAAAGAATTTCTTTGCATTTACCAGTTTTTACTGTACTTAAAAATGTGTCTTTTGTATCGTTAATATAGACAATAAGTTTATTTAGTCACAGGTACACACGAGTACAATTGCCATAAATAGTGTAAATTACCTAGTATAACCCTCCCAAAAATTCACAGTTGATTTATTATGCCTATAATGACGGATATGATAATCTCATTATTTGTTATTATTGTAGTAATGTAGCCTAGTGGTAAACTTTGCAAAATGTGCGGCCTTGACGACACTTGTGTAGTCTATAAGCTTCCAACCTGAGCAGCTAACCATTTAACTCTTGACATTTACCGATTTTTTCGTTGTATATTTGTATGTTAGTTAGGTTAAACTCAGAACCTTAATTCTTAACGAATTATTTGGAAACATCGAAGAAAGTTCTGAAAATTAATTCGATTTTGTGTTTGAAAGCTTTTATGGTCACTAAGTGTACGTATGTATTACGGTTCGAATTTGAAGACTTATACCGAGGTGTCAAAATTAGGCTCCTGTATATAAACATGTATTTTCCAGTATAAAAATAAAGGCATAAACAGGCATAAAAAATCTGAACATTTTTTTTTCCAGCGCCTATTCTTGGACAGAATCACTGGCCCTTAGTTTTTTCACTGTGATCAGTATTGACCTAGTTGAGGGCGTCATCTGTGATTCATCATCACAGACAATGAACAGTCCTTCGGGCAACGGGTGTGGGAAGAACACTTACCCGCGAGGGGTTACTGGAGGCTCTATCCTCCGTCCACTAGTCTCTGTTAGGTGTGTGAGCCGTCAGGTCGTCGGTGATTACAGCTCTGGTGGATCACTAGGCTGTGAAGACACACGTCATTGTTGCTGGACATGGACGCTACATGCTGTTTCCTGTCTATTTGTCTTGTCATTGTGAAGATGACTTGCTACGACGGCAGCCATAGTGATAGTAAGGTGGTAGTGTCATTTGGTGATAGGGATTATATTTGGTGGTGATTGCAATTGGTAGTGGTTGTATTTGGTGGTGATTGTATTTGGTAGTGGTTGTATTTGGTAGTGATTGTATTTGGTGGTAATTGTATGTGATGGTTGTATCTGGTGGTGGTTGTATTTGGTGGTGGTTGTATTTGGTGATGGTTGTATTTGGTAGTGGTTGTATTTGGTGGTGGTTGTATGTGATGGTTGTATTTGGTGGTGGTTGTATGTGATGATTGTATTTGGTGATGATGGTGAAGGCATTGGTGGTGTTTGGCGTGATAGTTGTGGTGGTGATGATAGTTGTGGTGGTGGTGATGATAGTTGTGGTGGTAGTGGACGAGTCGAGTCATACAATAGTAGCAGCCCAGTCTACAACTTCTCCACGCTGCTCTAGCTACAATATACGAGTGTGGTAAGCAGGTACATGCACTGCTCGCACACAGATACACATAATCATTCCACGTACTTGGTCGTCACTCGTGACGTTCATGACGTACAACGTGCACTCAACTGCGTGCTTCCCAGGGTCTCTGTTGGAGCACTAAGAGTGTTCTCATGTATTATTTTGGGCATGAGTAGTGCAGTTAAGTTTTTACCTTACTGACAAAACGTCTGCATCAGCTCCACTATACTATTGTATACTCATCTGAAGATTCCGATCATTGTCCCCGTGACCCTGTCCTCATGATGGCCTGATCAATCAGGCTGTTGGTGCTAGCAACACGCAAGCCAGTGTGAGCACCACAGTCTGGCTGATCAAGTACCGACTCGAGAACCATAAGTTCCATATAAAAACAGTTGTAATGATATTTTCATTAAATTCGTTTGTCTTGTGTTTTGAAAAGATCCATTTTAAGGACCGACTTCGTGTTTGCCTGTGTCTCATACTCCATAGTTGAGTTCTTACCTTACAACCGAAAGGACAAAGATTCGATGTCAGGCGATGTGAGACTTGTGGGAAAGTGTTCTTGCAACTGCTGTCCCTGATGTAGATGGCATCATAGGGAAGGACCTGACCCTACCAGAAATAAGCCACACTGCTTGGGTTATCTTGAGTTATTTATCTTCCTGGGTTAATAATTCCTCCTAGGTTAAATAATTCCTCCTGGGTTAATTACGAAGGTCATCTTATTGAAGCAGGTTAAAAGCTGGAAGAGTTTGGTTGGTACTTAACAGCATTCTTGAAGACTCGCATTTAAAAATAACAAATGTAATTACCTTAAGTTATGCATTAATTTTGATACACTTATTTTTAGAAGTAAAAAAAAAACTTTGTGGTCGTTTACCGTTCAATATTGCCATCTGGAATTTGTTAATATTTTTATTAAAGGCTTAGGAAATCGCTAAAAAAAAAAAAATCGTGCCATACGACAATCTGAAGCCAATTTTCTGTGGCAAATCATCCGCTTACGTTCAGCCATCCAGAAACTGTAAGTAGAACAGTCGCTGAGAACATTGTTACCTACATCGGTTCGCTGCTGCTGCAACCTTGAACCCTCAACCTCGCAAACATACGATGGCGAACGTCTCCATCGACCGATCCACCATAGCGAGCACCACCCAACAATCTACCCTACCTCTCCCCTTCATTATATCCCGCCAAAATATTAGCTAACCTGGCGGTGCGTGCGCGGAATGGGTTGGTTTCCCTCTATCCCATGTGTATCCTTGTCTTGTGTCGTGTGACATTGAAACGGCCGAGACGTTCACCCAGATGACAACATTCGAACAAGGACGAGCGCACAACAGCCCGGTGATCGTCCTCTGGAAGCGAAAGTCATCAAATATCCCTGGCGTTCACTCTTCAAATAGAGCATTGTTCGCGTGGTTCTGGGCTCACCTCTGCTGCTCAACCGGAACAATCATGTAATACTTTAGTTTTTTAGTTTTTTTTTTAATTCTGTAGTTTATCAAAGCTTAAATGTAGTTTACCGTTTTCCTTGAAGGAAGGGGAAAGTGTGTGTGAATCTTTAGTTTATGATACGTATATTTATCATTATTGGTGAAGATATACGCATCAAGAGAGATACTCATTATATACGCAAACCCGGATCAGAACGTGTCTTCGAAAGATTAAGACCCACATAGGACTCTTCTAATGTTTATTACAGCAAAAATCTCTACACAAGCACAGGATATATACACCAAGAAGTGTATTTCTCTCACTATATATATGTTGAGTTCAGTCTCATTTTAGGGATTAAATTATTTTGTCTGACAGTGAAAAGACTCGATGACCGTAGTGTAGTCTATAGGCTTTAAACCCTGGCATCAACAGTTTGCCACATGTGATGCTAGGCTGGTATTCCCTGCTGTAGCAGGGCTAGGCGCCCGTCCAACAGCACGCCAAAGGGAGCTATGATAGTTATCAAGTCTGCTCGATTTTTTTTCACCCTCCTGAAAACTATGTATGACTGCGGGCAACAACAGCCTGTTTGATCAAGCAGTCAACATGAAAGCCTGGCTTCATGCCGTATTGTGAGAACTCTCGAAACCAGTTACAGGTATCTGGTGCAACTGACGAAGCCCAAATGCGAAAAAGAGATGAGATGCCAGCCAGCAGGATCAGAAAGGAGAAAAAAAGAAACCAGCCAGCAGTATTAGGGAGGAGAAAATGAAATAATAATTAGCAGAATCTTTGAGAAGATGAGATACTAACCACTAGCATCGGAAAGAGTGAGAAGCTAGCCAGCAACACTAGTGAGGAGAAAATGTGACAGTAATCAGCAGCATCTTGGATGCTGGTTACTGATGGTGGCCTCAGATGCTGGCCACCAGCATCAGAGGAAAGCGAGAAGCTAGACAGCAGCGTTAAGAAAATGAGACAGTAACTATCAGCATCAGAGACTCAGGTTGCAGTGTAACACTACGCTGGTTAGAAGAACCACCAGAGCGGGTTTGCTTCGCGTGTCTCGTAACTTCCAAGAAATGTTGCACGGCTTTTTTTTTTCTTTACCCCAGTGATTTATGGTACACTGTACCTGATTATATGTTGCGTGAGGGAAAGAACGTTGTTACACTCGCTTGATGAGACACTCATGGAGGCTCTCGTCTCCAAGACACACTAAAAATACTGAAAAAAAAGCATCTTCGTAAAAGTAACCTGAATCTGGATGATATGTTTGAGACCCACGGTGACGTAAAAGACGTGTTAACGAAGCCTAGTAGTATATTCAAATTTTTGAGAAAAGTCAGATTTTTTTTTATCGTTGTGAATTTAGTTCATACTTTATATAGTTGCCAATGAAACCCTTTTTTTCTGTTGCTATAAATGGAGCCCATTTTTCCTGTTGATTTTAATGAAGCTCATTTCTATATTAAAAGAAACTCCCTCTTGTTATAAATTTAAGTGATCATTTTCTGTTATTGAGAATGACATCCTTCAACATTAAGAAGAGCTCTACGATAAGCTCAACGCTAACATACATCAATACGCTCTCTAGTTCATGAAGTGACACAAACAGCAGTACAACAACAGGGGTGCAGAGGCAGCAACACAAACGCAGGGGTGCAGAAGCAAGAGCACAGAAACAGAGGTGCAGAAGCAGCAACACAAAATCAGGAGTACAGAAGCAGCAACACAAAAGCGGGGTACAGAAGCGGCAGCACAAATGCATTGGTACAGAAACAACAACACAAAAGCAGGGGTACAGAAGAAGCACACAAACAGGGTACAGAAGCAGGACCAAGAGGGTACAGAAGCAGCAACACAAACAGGATACAGACAACACAAAAGCAGGGATACAGAAGCAGCAACACAAAAGCAGGGATACAGAAGCAGCAACACAAAAGCAGGGATACAGAAGCAGAATCAAAAGCATGGATCAGTAGAAACAAGATGAGAGGAATATGTAACAAGTGTCGTGAAGCATGACTGTAAAGTACAACACAGAGTGGAGCGTAGAGTACATCGGTTTCTGGCTAAATATTGATCTTACCTGAGAGGGACTATACTCACTGACACGTGTCTGTATATTCACTCGGGTTATGTATATATGTGTATATACTAAGGTGTGTATCTGTGTATGTACAATGACACGGATCTGTCGTGTGATGACTTTCGGTGATGCCCTGGGCACTATGGTGGAGGTACTATGGTGGAGACATTATGATGGAGGCACTGTGGTGGAGCACTATGGAGGCACTGTGGTGGAGCCCTGTAGACAGTACAGTAGAGCACTATGGCGGAGGCACTACGGTGGAGGCACTATAGTGGAGGCACAGCTAGCAGCAGCCACTGACATACACTGCTACACACGGTGGTGTTTATTAACGCAGATGAGTGTGTGGAAGTTATTTGTGTAATATTTAAGAACCGAACCGGCGTCCTTGCAAGTGCAAGTATTACACGTGGAAGGTGTTGGCCCTGTGGCTGGCCAGGGTGTCCACTGACTTGTTTGTCTGGCTCTCAGATTCCAGTGTCTTATTCTGGCTTTCAAGCTCTAATGTTTAGATTTGCGAGACACACGTGTCACACTTGGCTATCTTTATTGCCGTAATGCCCCGCCTGCACAACAGGCTTCTTCGGTCAAATTCAGGAGACTACAACACTGGAGACGGTCAAGGCAATTTAGAAATGAGCAGTTACCCATTGTAGATTTTATGTTGGATTTCACGTTTTGGAAGTGAACATTTACACACACACACACACACACACACACACACACACACACACACACACACACACACACACACACACACACACACACACACACACACTAACACCCACTCACTTATTCTCTGTCTCTGTCTGTCTGTCTGTCTCTCTCTCTCTCTCTCTCTCTCTCTCTCTCTCTCTCTCTCTCTCTCTCTCTCTCTCTCTCTCTCTCGCTCTCTCTCTCTCTCTCTCTCACACACACACACACACACACCATTAATACTTGCCTTTCAGCTCTCGCACACTCTCTCGTGGATTCCATGTGTCAGGAGTGTAGCCATTAAGACCTTCAAAAATCTTAGTGTCTGTAGGAAGTCTGTCATCTAAGAGCGGCACAGATGACCACCAGTTCTTACAAGTGCTAGATGGTGTCCAGCTCTTTTGCTACACCCGAATTTCAGGTGACTTTCCTCCTCTTTCTCCCATACATCGCCTTCACTCTTCTTCAACTGTCTTAGAGGGAGGGGAGGGGTGTTCCCTGGGTCTGTGACGGGCTCTTGCTTCAAGGAATTAGAGGTAGCCTTGGGTCTAACATCATTAGCTCCCCAACCCTCTCATTTCTCGGGAGTAATGCTATTCTAACGGGTTTAATGTTTCCATATTAGCAAAATATCATGGTGTGGCAGTAATCATCTCTCACCCAAGATAGCATCTCTCAGCCAAGATAGCATGGTGTGACTCACGAAATCGTAAAGACACGACTGCAAACAAACCATACCACGGGCGGGATTTGAACCTGCGGTCAGAGAGTCTCAAAACTCCAGACCGTCGCGTTAGCCACTGGGCAAGCTAGCTTCAATAAGATTCGTCCAACTAGGTATATTTCTACACCATAGGAAGGTTAGCATAAACACCACTGTGTCCACAAATGCAAGTTTTTACAGACGAATCTCCCGCCAGCATGGCCGTGACGAACTCTAGCTCAAGTCCCCTCAAAGCCGTAAACATGACTCACGAAATCGTAATGACACGATTGAAGCTAGCTGGCCCAGTGGCTAACGCGACGGTCTGGAGTTTTGAGACTCTCTGGCCGCGGGTTCAAATCCTACCTGTGGTGTGTTTTTTTTTTTTAGCATGGTGTGGCAGTAATCATCTCTCACCCAAGATAGCATGGTGTGGCAGTAATCATCTCTCAGCCAAGATAGCATGGTGTGGCAGTAATCATTTCTCACCCAAGATAGCATGGTGTGGCAATGATCATCTCTCACCCAAGATAGCATGGTGTGGCAATGATCATCTCTCACCCAAGATAGCATGGTGTGACAGTAATCATCTCTCACCCAAGATAGCATGGTGTGTGGCAATGATCATCTCTCACCCAAGATAGCATGGTGTGGCAATGATTTATCTCTCACCCAAGATAGCATGGTGTGGCAATGATCATCTCTCACCCAAGATAGCATGGTGTGACAGTAATCATCTCTCACCCAAGATAGCATGGTGTGGCAGTAATCATCTCTCACCCAAGATAGCATGGTGTGGCAGTAATCATCTCTCACCCAAGATAGCATGGTGTGACAGTAATCATCTCTCACCCAAGATAGCATGGTGTGACAGTAATCATCTCTAACCCAAGATAGCATGGTGTGACAGTAATCATCTCTAACCCAAGATAGCATGGTGTGACAGTAATCATCTCTCACCCAAGATAGCATGGTGTGGCAGTAATCATCTCTTACCCAAGATAGCATGGTGTGGCAGTAATCATCTCTTACCCAAGATAGCATGGTGTGACAGTAATCATCTCTAACCCAAGATAGCATGGTGTGGCAGTAATCATCTCTCACCCAAGATAGCATGGTGTGGCAGTAATCATCTCTCACCCAAGATAGCATGGTGTGGCAGTAATCATCTCTCACCCAAGATAGCATGGTGTGGCAGTAATCATCTCTCACCCAAGATAGCATGGTGTGACAGTAATCATCTCTCACCCAAGATAGCATGGTGTGGCAGTAATCATCTCTCACCCAAGATAGCATTTTGGTGGTGGGCAGTAATCATCTCTCACCCAAGATAGCATGGTGTGGGGAATGATCATCTCTTACCCAGGATAGCATGGGGGTGGCAGTAATCATCTTTTCACCCAAGATAGCATGGTGTGGGCAGTAATCATCTCTCACCCAAGATAGCATGGTGTGGCAGTAATCATCTCTCACCCAAGATAGCATGGTGTGGCAATGATCATCTCTTACCCAGGATAGCATGGTGTGGCAGTAATCATCTCTCACCCAAGATAGCATGGTGTGACAGTAATCATCTCTCACCCAAGATAGCATGGTGTGGCAGTAATCATCTCTCACCCAAGATAGCATGGTGTGGCAGTAATCATCTCTCACCCAGGATAGCATGGTGTGGCAGTAATCGTCTCTCACCCAGGATAGCATGGTGTGGCAATGATCATCTCTTACCCAGGATAGCATGGTGTGACAATGATCATCTCTTACCCAAGATAGCATGGTGTGACAATGATCATCTCTCACCCAGGATAGCATGGTGTGACAGTAATCATCTCTCACCCAGGATAGCATGGTGTGGCAGTAATCATCTCTTACCCAAGATAGCATGGTGTGGCAGTAATCATCTCTTACCCAAGATAGCATGGTGTGACAGTAATCATCTCTCACCCAAGATAGCATGGTGTGGCAGTAATCATCTCTTACCCAAGATAGCATGGTGTGGCAGTAATCATCTCTTACCCAAGATAGCATGGTGTGACAGTAATCATCTCTCACCCAAGATAGCATGGTGTGACAGTAATCATCTCACCCAAGATAGCATGGTGTGGCAGTAATCATCTCTCACCCAAGATAGCATGGTGTGACAGTAATCATCTCTCACCCAAGATAGCATGGTGTGACAGTAATCATCTTTCACCCAAGATAGCATGGTGTGACAGTAATCATCTCTCACCCAAGATAGCATGGTGTGACAGTAATCATCTCACCCAAGATAGCATGGTGTGGCAGTAATCATCTCTCACCCAAGATAGCATGGTGTGGCAGTAATCATCTCTCACCCAAGATAGCATGGTGTGGCAGTAATCATCTCTCACCCAAGATAGCATGGTGTGACAGTAATCATCTCTCACCCAAGATAGCATGGTGTGACAGTAATCATCTCTCACCCAAGATAGCATGGTGTGACAGTAATCATCTCTCACCCAAGATAGCATGGTGTGACAGTAATCATCTCTCACCCAAGATAGCATGGTGTGACAATGATCATCTCTTACCCAAGATAGCATGGTGTGGCAGTAATCATCTCTCACCCAAGATAGCATGGTGTGGCAGTAATCATCTCTCACCCAAGATAGCATGGTGTGACATTAATCATCTCTCACCCAAGATAGCATGGTGTGACAGTTATCATCTCTCACCCAAGATAGCATGGTGTGACAGTAATCATCTCTCATCCAAGATAGCATGGCGTGACAGTAATCATCTCTCACCCAAGATAGCATGGTGTGACAGTAATCATCTCTCACCCAAGATAGCATGGCGTGACAGTAATCATCTCTCATCCAAGATAGCATGGCGTGACAGTAATCATCTCTCACCCAAGATAGCATGGTGTGGCAGTAATCATCTCTCACCCAAGATAGCATGGTGTGGCAGTAATCATCTCTTACCCAAGATAGCATGGTGTGACAGTAATCATCTCTCACCCAAGATAGCATGGTGTGGCAGTAATCATCTCTCACCCAAGATAGCATGGCGTGACAGTAATCATCTCTCACCCAAGAAAAGCATGGTTTTGACAGTAATCATCTTTTCACCCAAAGATAGCATGGTGTGGCAGTAATCATCTCTCACCCAAGATAGCATGGTGTGACAATGATCATCTCTTACCCAGGGTGATAAGGATTGTTTACATTAAACTACCTCTCTACTTCATCTACTTCCATCAACGTTGATCTCCTCGGGAATACAATTCGTCTCTGTATTTGACTGATAAAGCCTGTAATGCAGGCGAAACTTTTCGTCAGTATTTCCAATATTGCCGAGGCATCAACTTGTGGGTATTGTATACCGTATAATACCACCGAGCGGGGTGACTGAGAGCAAGACCAGTCAACTGAGACCAGGTAGAACACATGACTTTTAAACTTGATTTATATGAGCTCCCGTGCACAGTTTAAATTAAATTATGTTAAGTGTTTTAATATTAAAAATCAATATTTTATTACTAACATGGTCAGTACTTTAATGGTTTTTCAACTGTTTTTTTCTAGTCTGTATAAAAGTCAAATCTTAAGAGCTCTCACTGCTGAACAGTCTTCCAGAATTTAGTAAACATTACAGGAACCACCGACCATCTGCTACCCTTTCTTCATGTAAGTTAGTAATTATTAAGTTATAGCTAAGTTTTAATTAGTAGCACTTGAGACCTCCAATATTAACTCTGTTATTATATGTTATATTTTAACTGGGTAAATATGCCATATTTATAGGAGACCTTCAGTATTAACTCTGTTGTATTTGTCAGAGGGGATTTCATAGAGGACCGTTTCTCTTGTGTACAGGCTGGTGCGCACGTATAAGAGGAAGACCACAAGAACGCAGTAGACTTGGCGAATACCCTGATAGCATTGTCAGGAGACAGGTCATGAAGATATGCAGTGAGACAAGTTTGCAGCAGCATTTCACTGCAAGGTTCAAATCACTCCGAAAAATTGGAAGAAAAATAGCGCTTCGCAATGCAGGAATTGCAATAGCATTAAATGCAGCTTGTCCAAGTGATTTTAGGATTTTTTTTTTCGATGTTAATGAGTTGAGAAACTTTGTTATATATCACCTGGACCGCAGTCTGAGAGATGTTCCAGAGTTTGCCGATAAATATAATATTTTCTTATTTGCAAAATGTTAATATGGAGTAACAGTACTTATAGTGCCCAAGAAGTAGGTAGTTTTTTTTTACCACGTTTTATATGAACTACCACCACAATTGTCCCACCTAAAGTAGCGAGGTCTCAGATGCCCCACACCAGGGGCCACTGAAACTAATTTGTTTTTATTATTCTAACAATACAATTGTATAGCCTAATAAAGTTGGTCAGTTTGTACTTCCATTATCCCTTTGTATTGTTTTCTAAAACTAAAAATTTGAACAGAATAAACTTAGCTTTTTTTTCATATTACCACGCAAATGACTTGATATTTTTGGCCACAGTTGTGCCACTTGATATTATATCTATTGGAAGTATTATTTTAATGTTAATTGTACGAGTGTTATTATTATTAAACCTTTCCAGGGAGGTGCCTTGACCTCTACACTTCCCTGGGATCATGCTGTCTCACATTCCTGAAGGCGCTGCACCACCCCTATCAGCTTAGCGCTGCACCATTAAATAAAATGATAAATATATTGACCAAAAAACTTGATTGACCATCAGATTGAATGAATCTGATTTCCTCTTGTCAGATACTGATTATCCGTAACTTCAACGCTCTTTTTTTTTATACTATTTAGCTTCAAATTATTTATCCTTATTACCCCAGATCTTTATTACCCCAAATCTTTATTTCATTAGGTGTTTATTTTCAATAATGACAGTATATTAATAGTATTAGTTAATATATTGTCATTACTATCATTATTGGCATTATTATTACCCCAGGAATATTACCTTAGTTCTTGAAGTAGGTTTAAGAAGTTCCTCTATATACTGCGAGTTTTTGATAAATGCGATTGAATACCTCGTGGAAAGTCTTAAAAAAAATTTATGTACTTTCTCATTCACATTTACAAAAAAAAAAAAAAAAAAAAAAAAGAACGCACTACAGGCGCTGTATAAGAGTTGACTGTACTACTGTACTCCGAGCTTATCATCACTAAGATCTATCGTACCTTTGTTAGTCCAAATTGCTCTGTTATCTAAATCATCTGGCTATATATGACACTTGAGTGTTTACAGCCTGGGGTAGCAGTAGTGTGTTTGTGTATCATGGGAGGAACAACACTTGAGTGTGATGACAATAGCGTGGAGAGTGCTGCTGATCATTTCCCACAGCTTTCTCTGAGTAAAACTAAGAGTGGCTACAGTTTCTCTTTCATAACTTGTTAATGGTTCCTGTAGTGGCGGGAGTCTCTGTGGTACTCGCAGATGTCCTGTAGAGGTGCTGTAAGTCTCCATTCTACTTATATATGGCGCTCTTCTCTAGTGGTATAAATCTACATGCTACTCAGTTGCATCCTCCTGTGGTAAAGTTTCTATTTTACTCATAGATGGTGCACTTCTGTGGTGGTGTAAATCTCCATTCTACTCATAGATGGCGCCAGAGGGAAACATTCTTATCTTAATCTACCGGGAAAACTGCTTCACACACGCTGGGACTCTCAACTATTATACGAGATAGTTTTTCAAACTTGGGTCTTCAGTTTATCGTGCGAGAAGTTCTCCAGCCGACACTTAATATACTCTTGTCACGATAACACTGGGAAGATGTGTGGCTAAATTGCATCGCGTGTGGTGAGGGCCGTTTTGACTCTCTGAATTATTAACTCTTTGTAATTACTTCTTAATTTTCGCCTCGCACGAAAAGTATTATTGTGGGAGTTCTTAAATTTATTTTATCGAGTCACCGGTTATATTTTTGTTCGCATTGTAGGCTATTGTTGCACCAGCAGAAAGTAAAAATGAGACAATGTTAAAAGATCTGAATCAATGCTATCACGGCAGTGGCTATCCTCAAGCACTTGGTAAATCATTGTTTTGATTTTAAATGTGAAAAAAAGGAAGCGGCGGTAAGCCAGTATATATGCTTCTCCACGGTGTATATATTGCAGTACCGGCAAGCCAGTGGTTACTAAATCACGGATACCCAATACCGGTATATCAGCTGTTTCGTTTTATTAAAGGTATGCAATAGCAACACGTGCAACAGTTGGGTATCTTTATTGATGAGACGTTTTGTCTGCTGAGGTGGCTTCTTCAGTCGAAGAGCAGAGGAGACAACAGAAGCAGTGGAGATATAGATAAGAGGTGATCAGTCCCTTAGCCTTGAAGTAGGGTTGAAATGGTCAGTCTGTCTACGTTGTAGAGGTGGTCAGTCTGTCAGTTTCGGTGGGTTCAGTTGCATATCTTCGATCATTGTCTTCCTTATAATTTCTCTGTATTGAATTGAAAAAGCCAGTGGTTGGAGAAAAATGTCTTTCAAATAGAGTCCCAGGTTGACGCTCATGTGCCTGTCATCAACCTGTGGATATCGTGTACCAATAATTATATGATACTTGTTAGACACAACTGCACCATGGTATCTTGCTACAGGAGACGTCTTCTGCAACTCTGTTGCTAAACAGAGTTGCTCACTTACGACGTGCTCTGCAGATGATGCATCTTACTTCTGGCTCTAGTATGTCTCCGGCCTCTTGCTTCTGCTTTCAGGTTAGGAGCTGACACCCTATCAAGAATGAGGAACTGAATATCCCAGAAGTACCTCTCTATATCTTCCACTGTCTCCAGTATTAATATTACCTCTATAACTGACTGGCCCGTGCGAACATCCCAGCCCTAAACGTGTACTGGAAACTACTTAGTGACAAACAAATAGATTAGAGACCCGACATGACTACTGGACCTCATACCTAGACGACGAAATACGCAGACCTGCAAACACGCACAACCTCTTCTACTCACTACTAGCCCCTGACCCAACTCCTTTATACAAATAACCCTTCTGCAATCTTGACTCACTAACCTGTATTCACAGGTGGGGACCTTAAATATTGCCCATGTACCTGCAATCCACGCTTTGCCTCCCCCCCCGTCCCCCCCAAGGCCCGAAGCTGCGCCCGGTCTCCTGAATCACTATCAGCTCAGCAACTGGGTTAAGCCCTGATTCTTTCCCTTATACTAATAACCATCCTCTAACCAACCTATTCTTCCCCTATCCCCACTTCCCCACTCACCCCCATTGGGATCTTACCTAGAATATCTTGTCTTGACTGGAAAAGTCTGCTGATCAAGCGAAAGTTTTCAAAAATATAGATATCCAAGTATTGCACATATTTTGTGTGTCATTAATCACTGAGTGGGTCATCAGCTGACAAAGAACACTGCGTCAGGATACGCGTTCCTATTTCCTGACAAACCGCCACCTACGGCGGTGACCCAAATACTATCCTAATGCAAGGAAGTCTCGAGGTGGTAAGTATTATTACAGAGATGGTGGAGGATGATAAGCAAGTGCAGAAGACATAATGGAGACGGTCTGGCTTTGGAAAGTAGTCCTTCCGTGGCTCCCTACCACCATTGTGACCCCTGCGGTTGCTACACCCCCGCACTCTTATAACTGTTTCCACCGGGTAACCTCGACCCCTGGACGCACCCAGTCACAGTACACACAGAGAAAACATTATCAACGGTGTTACTAGGAAAGTTGTTACTTTTAGTATTTTTTGGCTGGAGGACATTTGGTGCCTAGGTGAGTAGAGTGCTGGACGGCCTTGCTAAGAGTGAGGACTCCGAGCGTTAGGAGACGGGGGAAAATTTCTCCTGATGTCGGTCTTAGTTGTGTGATCACCCTCTGACGCTGGTCCTGATCATGTGATGACCCTCTGACGCTGGTTTTACTTATATGATGACCCTCTGACGCTGGTCCTGCTCGTGTGATGACCCGCTCCCTGCAGTTTTTGTTGGTATAATGGTGAACTCCCGCTTGCTCACCGGTCCACATATGACAGGGAAGTCATATTTCATATGTTGTGTAAATAACGCTACTGTTAACTAACCCATAAATTATAACTGATGACTAGACGACGTTTCGGTCAGTCCTGGAACATTATCAAGTCACTCACGCCTTGATAATATTAAAGACCGAAACTGTCTGGTTTTTATTTCCAGTTTATGGGTTCTGAATTGTTGCATCCACGGTATTATAGGTTAGTTGTGAATTGTTCCTTCTACGGTATTGTGGGTTGTGAACTATTCCTTCTACGGTATTGTTGGTTAGTTGTGAATTGTTCCATCTACGGTATTGTGGGTTAGTTGTGAATCGTTCTATCTACGGTATTGTTGGTTAAGTGTGAATTGTTCCATCTACGGTATTGTGGGTTGTGAATTATTCCATCTGCGGTATTGTGGGTTGTGAGCTGTTCCCTCTACGGTATTGTTGGTTAGTTGTGAATTGTTACAGCCACAATACTGACTTACGGCACTTTTCTTGTAGGTGGCATAGAACATCCACTCCGTAGCTCTTCGCACACTGATCCACATAAGCGTTCTTTGTTTATACAGTTCATTCATTCATTAGAGGTTCGCCGGTACTTCCGGCCTGGGTCTACTCCATATGGTGACCCGGCTACTGTTTATTAAGTGAAATTCATAACTTAAAATTAGTTTTAAAACACTGAATCACAGATGTAAGATTTACATTTTGTCTGTTAGACAGAAGACTGTGTTCGGAGTGTTAACTTAGGATGGGCAATAACAAGACTGCTGGGATTGTTAACCCAAGATGGCGAATAACCAGTATACTCAAGAAAGTCAAGTTGTGTGACTTATTTCCATTGTAGCCCTCTAGGGTGAGACTCAAAAAAGTCGTTTACCTCATAGGTACCTTTTTGTCTACTAAATGAACATGGACAGCAAGTGTTACGAGTAGTGGTCTAAATATTTGTCCCGCCCAGGATTTATCCTGGTCTTTCATTCTTGACTGTGCACTCTTGTATGTAAGAAGTTAGTACATGAACCTTCACTGGATATTTAGACTTTGTATTCCTCTTCAACCAGCCAAAGAAGAGACATCGACGCTGTGGAAAACCTACATGATGTTTTGTGAAGGTGGACGAGCTGCGGTTAGTCTGTGCGTGGCAGGTATGAGACAACACAAGCACTAATAACCTTGGCTGTTGAACTCTTTAAACTGAAGAAGGCGGCGGCGGGAAGGGAAACAAGAGCGACAGCGTTGATAAAATACTGTAGAAAGAGAAGACACTTGAAGATGGATGTTAAAATTCGTTCGGCTTCATGAAGGCAAAGTCGCATTTCACCTGTACGCTAACATCAAGAATATTTTAATCCTTGAAGTGGTTATTGTTTTAAACTCTCGTTGTATATACGCTGACACACATCGTTCAGTAATGGGGATACTAGATTTTCATGGTTATAAAAGTCTGGGTGTGTCAGGACCCAGGCAACCGAGATGAAGTGAAGGTTTGAGTGTGTCAGGCGTCAAGGTGTGTCAGGTAGGTGGCAGCTCAGGTGAAGTGGAAACCATTGATGAATGTTCTAGGTTGGAAATGAAGGATCTCTCAGTCGTGTAAGGGGGTTCTCAAGCACCGTTTTGTCTCGGTTTTTGTGGTATCCTCGGTACATTTTACAGCTGGAAGCATTCCATTATATACCTAAACCTAAGTTTCTTTTTGTTTATAAAATCTTGAAGCTATGAAGTTAAGTAAAGGGACAGCAAATGTTTTATATTAGATTTGTGTTTTTATGTAGTTTAGAGTTCTATTGGTTTTCAGAGAAGAAATGTGCATAGATACGAAACAGAGGCAATACGTAGAGGGTATCTTCAATAAACACGAGGTGTGTGGTGGTAATACAACCTTCGACCACAAGAACAAAAACTGAGATGAGAACGATATCGAAACACGAACCTATTTGACCTGGGTAAGTATGAACTAGTCGGCAGATGAGTATGCTTGAAGTGACATTAGTACATCCATCTCCCTGCTACTGGTAGTCACGTCTAGGACAGGCGCCACTACACACAACAGCAGGCACGTCCTGCGCTGCGCTGGATGAGCACGGCTGCTTTTCCACAATCTTCCTAGTTGTTTTGTCGTTGTCTGCTGGTACACTGCCAGACAGTGGGCTGATCCATCTTCCGTATCTTGTAAGATGAACGTGTTTGTCTTCCAGTAACCTTCCTAAGCGTTTTGTCGCAAAAAAAAAAATAGTTGATTCGACTGTCATTGCCTTACGTATGTTGCAAGATTGAGCGCGGAATGAAACATTATAAAGTAGGAATAATTGTTTGTGAGTAAGACGTGCTTAACATGGGCCAGTAAGAGCACAGTGCTCCTTTCTTATGTTCTTAGATTTGCCGTTTTACTCCCTGACTGTTTACTCATCCTCAAACACAGTTGTGTGAACACTGGTTGAGGGAGGTAGGAATTGTAGTAGGTTCGCCGATCTTGTCCCGGCCCGGACCTTGATACTGGAGAACTCTCCCGACAAACAATTGAAGCTACCCTCCCTTTATTCAGATTAAACCTGACTACCTCCGATGCCCAAGGTGCTGTGTGAACCTTAGTTTAGTGCTTCCACATAAATATGCACTGTCAGCACACTATAACCCATTTGGGTTTAGTGTGTTCTTGTAAATAATAGTGTATTGTGAGGGGGCGGGTATTGTGAATACTGGAGAGTGAACATCGGGTATATTGTTTACAAGACAAAGACAGTGTGTTGTGTGTGTGTGTGGGTACTTGACAGTGTGGGTACTGCACACAACAATTGTAATCCTGCCTCATAATCAGTGTAAGCTTCCCTAACCAACATTTATTTCTTCGCTGAGTTCCGCTTATGAAAGTTTTTAAAAGAAATGAATAGAGGTTAATTGTGGATATGGAGCAAAGAACTTTGAAAAGAAAGTTGCGGGAGAAATGGAAGAGAGCTTCAGTAGATCCGGCTGTTGCTAACATAAGGTGGTTACTTGGGAGGGGGGGGAGGCTTTCGCTAGTCTGGGGGGGGGGGGGTGGCTACCTGCAAAGGGTTGCCACCCTTGGGCTCTCTCAAGCCTGGGGAAAGGATTGAGAGCCCTTTAGGGAAAGGGAGGGGGGGGAAGGATCACGAACCCTGGTGGATATTGGGAACTTAAAGCAGTCTGCGAACATTGAGTGAACCGCAGACTTAGGCAGGTTGGCGCCTCACTGCAGGGGGTATAATTGTATGGAAAGGAATTGGAGTGCCATACCCACTTGCATGGATGCCATACCCACCTGCAATGATTCCACACCCACTTGCATGGATTCCATACCCACCTGCAAATATGTCATACCCGTCTTTAAATGCCGGCATTAACATAAAGGCAGACTTGGCCGTGGTGTCTAGCGGAGAGCCATTGTCTAATTAGCCAAATCTGTCAAGCAAGCCAAACTATATTACAAGAGCTGTCTTATGAAGATTTAATCGTATATACAAGATAATTTAAGGTACGTGTGTGTGTGTGTGTGTGAGAGAGAGAATCTGTTATCTGTTGGCGATGAGTCTGTTGGAAGGATAATATTTCAGCAAATCTGTAATGAGGCGTAGTCTGGGATAAGGCGCGGGAGTGATACCGTCCTGCACACACACACACACACACACACACACACACACACACACACACACACACACACACACACACACACACACACACACACACACACACACAAAATCAGTCTGGTGTATAAAAGGTAAGTTTTACATTCAGCCAATCTAAGTAACATTTACTGAGTCACTGACGTCTCTAAGAATATAAGTTATTTTGAGCTAGTACGAGCCATGGTGTCTTTTGTTGAACCATGATATCTTTTGTTGAACCATGATATCTTTTGTTGAACCATGATATCTTTTGTTGAACCATGATATCTTTTGTTGAACCATGATATCTTTTGTTGACCTGTATCTTGTTGCTGAACCTGATTCTTTTGTTGAACCATGATATCTTGTAGGAACATGATATCTTTTTAACCCCCATGATATTTTTGCTTTAACCATGATACTCTTGTGAACCCCCATGATAGTCTTTGCTGTAATCCTCCTTATATCTTTGTTGAACCATGATCTTTGCGAACCATGAAATTTTGTGAACCATGTATATATGTTGACACATTATATACTGTTGTTAAACAGATATCTTTTGTTGAAGCATGATTCTTTTGTTGACCAATCTCTTTTGCAGAACATGAATATTTTTGTTGACAAGATTAACTTTGCTGACATGTATCTATGCACTGAACCATGAATCTTTTGCAACCTATGATCTTGCTGAACCATGTAACTTTTGTGAACCAGTGTCTTCATCTTAAGCTATGCGTCTATGTGCTTTTTGAGGCTCTAGCACCTTAATCACCTGCAATGAACTGTATCATTAGGCAAAAAGCCACCCGTCATGGAAGATGTCTTCAATTAATATCAGCATACTACAAGTCTCCAATAAGCTCATTGCTAGTGATCCCATCTAAATCCATTGTTAGAGCACTCTCATGATAAATTATATGTCTACCTAGATGGTAGTACATAAGGTATCACAAGTGTATATACACTGATGGATCTAAACGAGTCTTGGCAGGTTGCATTGCTCTTGATATGCCACCTCCTAGTAGAGAACGATAATAATTGTTATAATTAGGATAAGAATTAACAATGGCAGTTAAACTGCAACTGATTGTTGCAATCATAAGCCCTATGATAACTGAACCGTGATAACGAGCTGTCTTATATCATATATTCTATGTCACATTGAAGGCTACTTGACTCATTATGAGGTAGCTGGCTCAATACTTGGCTCAGTTGGGGAAGCCAGTATAGACTCAAATTAGAAATGGAATTAATGTACAGTGCTATGGATCCATCACTACATTGATATCCTCATGTTATTAAGTTGATATGTTAGCAAGAAGAAGTACAGAAGGAGAATGTAGAATATAACCTTGGATGACTGTGTCAAGCATTGATCTATATTAATGAAAGATAAGATACATGATGATATAGGAATGTAGTTAGAATGCCTGAATGACTTGAACCGCACTATGTAACATGAACGTAGATAAGTCATAGTTTATGTCAATTGCAAGTGACAACCCTGTTGAGTGGCCTAGTTCCAGGCTTGGTTATCAATATCTCTTGGCAGTTTAGGAGACACAGATGAGATCAAATTAAATGTAAATTTGTGATCAGGCATAGTCACATGTCTTGAACATATCTGCTCTTAATTGTCCACTTACTGGGAATAAGACAGCGTATAATAACCTATGTGACATGTCAAGATATCTTATTAATGAAAATAAGATACCAGATATACTAAGCAAATTTCCTAAATTTGCTTGTAACAGATAAGTGAACTATAGATATGTAGATATAAATCCATATGTATTCATGTCAACCCCTTGGGGCCTAGTTCCTGGGCCTTTTTTGTATCCATATGCTCTTGCGCTACCGTTCACCGGATGGATATGGGGTGCACAATAAACTAGCCACTTTGGTGGCAAAATCTAATCTAATCTATCATCCTCTCTTCCCTCTTCGTACCCCCTCTTACCTCCGTCTCCTCCTCCTCCTCCCTCTCTCTCTACCCCTTCCTCTCATAGGTTTCCACCTGGAGCAGTAATTAAGCAGGGGAGTGTGCTTGGAAAGCACAATGATGTGGTTGGGTCATCAGTGTGTGGTTGGGTAATTAATTACACAGAGGTGGAGAGAGAGCGATGGTTGGCAGCCGGCATGGTAGCCTCCTCAGTGCTTGTTAAGAGTACCTCCTCGTCAGTGCTAGTTAAGAGTACCTCCTCCTCAGTGGTTGTTAAGAGTACCTCCTCAGTGGTTGTTAAGAGTACCTCCTCAGTGCTTGTTAAGAGTACCTCCTCAGTGCTTGTTAAGAGTACCTCCTCCTCAGTGCTTGTAGAGTATCTCCTCAGTGCTTGATAAGTTATCTCCTGTAACCATGGTAACCACTCGTAATGAAACAAGATATTACCTTGATAAGATGTGAGTGTTGCTGTTTTGTTTTTGGTGTTGTTGTTCTAGGTGTTGCTGTTGTCTTAGGTGCTGCTGTCGTAGATGTTGCTGTTGTCCTAGGTGTTGCTGTTGTCTTAGGTGCTGCTGTCGTAGATGTTGCTGTTGTCCTAGGTGTTGCTGTTGTCCTAGGTGTTACTGTTGTCCTAGGTGTTGCTGTTGTCTTAGGTGTTGCTGTTGTCCTAGGTGTTGCTGTCGTAGATGTTGCTGTTGTCCTAGGTGTTGCTGTTGTCTTAGATGTTGCTGTTGTCCTAGGTGTTGCTGTCCTAGGTGTTGCTGTTGATCTAGGTGTTGCTGTTGTCCTAGGTGTTGCTGTCGTAGATGTTGCTGTTGTCCTAGGTGTTGCTGTTGTCTTAGGTGTTGCTGTCGTAGATGTTGCTGTTGTCTTAGGGGTTGCTGTTGTCCTAGGTGTTGCTGTTGTCCTAGGTGTTGCTGTTGTCCTAGGTGTTGCTGTTGTCCTAGGTGTTGCTGTTGTCCTAGGTGTTGCTGTTGTCCTAGGTGTTGCTGTTGTCCTATGTGTTGCTGTTGTCCTAGGTGTTGCTGTCGTAGATGTTGCTGTTGTCTTAGGTGTTGCTGTTGTCCTAGGTGTTGCTGTCCTAGGTGGTTTTGTTGTCCTAGGTGTTGCTGTTGTCCTAGGTGTTGCTGTTGTCCTAGGTGTTGCTGTTGTCCTAGGTGTTGCTGTTGTCCTATGTGTTGCTGTTGTCCTAGGTGTTACTGTTGTCCTAGGTGTTGCTGTTGTCCTAGGTGTTGCTGTTGTCCTAGGTGTTGCTGTTGTCCTATGTGTTGCTGTTGTCCTAGGTGTTGCTGTTGTCCTAGGTGTTGCTGTTGTCCTAGGTGTTGCTGTTGTCCTGTGTGTTGCTGTTGTCCTGTGTGTTGCTGTTGTCCTAGGTGTTGCTGTTGTCCTAGGTGTTGCTGTTGTCCTAGGTGTTGCTGTTGTCCTAGGTGTTGCTGTTGTCCTAGGTGTTGCTGTTGTCCTAGGTGTTGCTGTTGTCCTATGTGTTGCTGTTGTCCTAGGTGTTACTGTTGTCCTAGGTGTTGCTGTTGTCCTAGGTGTTGCTGTTGTCCTAGGTGTTGCTGTTGTCCTATGTGTTGCTGTTGTCCTAGGTGTTACTGTTGTCCTAGGTGTTGTGTTGTCCTAGTGTTGCTGTTGTCCTAGGTGTTGCTGTTGTCCTAGGTGTTGCTGTTGTCCTAGGTGTTGCTGTTGTCCTAGGTGTTGCTGTTGTCCTATGTGTTGCTGTTGTCCTAGGTGTTACTGTTGTCCTAGGTGTTGCTGTTGTCCTAGGTGTTGCTGTTGTCCTAGGTGTTGCTGTTGTCCTATGTGTTGCTGTTGTCCTAGGTGTTGCTGTTGTCCTAGGTGTTGCTGTTGTCCTAGGTGTTGCTGTTGTCCTGTGTGTTGCTGTTGTCCTGATGTGTTGCTGTTGTCCAGGTGTTGCTGTTGTCCTAGGTGTTGCTGTTGTCCTAGGTGTTGCTGTTGTCCTAGGTGTTGCTGTTGTCTAGGTGTTGCTGTTGTCCTAGGTGTTGCTGTTGTCCTAGGTGTTGCTGTTGTCCTGTGTGTTGCTGTTGTCCTGTGTGTTGCTGTTGTCCTGTGTGTTGCTGTTGTCCTGTGTGTTGCTGTTGTCCTAGGTGTTGCTGTTGTCCTAGGTGTTGCTGTTGTCCTAGGTGTTGCTGTTGTCCTAGGTGTTGCTGTTGTCCTAGGTGTTGCTGTTGTCCTAGGTGTTGCTGTTGTCCTGTGTGTTGCTGTTGTCCTGTGTGTTGCTGTTGTCCTGTGTGTTGCTGTTGTCCTGTGTGTTGCTGTTGTCCTAGGTGTTGCTGTTGTCCTAGGTGTTGCTGTTGTCCTGTGTGTTGCTGTTGTCCTAGGTGTTGCTGTTGTCCTAGGTGTTGCTGTTGTCCTAGGTGTTGCTGTTGTCCTAGGTGTTGCTGTTGTCCTAGGTGTTGCTGTTGTCCTAGGTGTTGCTGTTGTCCTAGGTGTTGCTGTTGTCCTAGGTGTTACTGTTGTCCTAGGTGTTGCTGTTGTCCTAGGTGTTGCTGTTGTCCTAGGTGTTGCTGTTGTCCTAGGTGTTGCTGTTGTCCTAGGTGTTACTGTTGTCCTAGGTGTTGCTGTTGTCCTAGGTGTTGCTGTTGTCCTAGGTGTTGCTGTTGTCCTAGGTGCTTATTATTATTCTGGTCGACTGTGCACATCCTGCCCTTCTATCTGTGGCTGTGATCAGGATCTCTCCTCTTTTTTTTTTGTTTTTTACTCAGAGTTTTGCAAGGTTAGGTTAAGGATTCCTAACTTGATTAACAAGTATAAGAGCTGTTAGATACGTCAGCTTATGTGAAAGCATTGTAATTGTTATGAGATGTACAAATATTGAACAGGATGAAGTTGGAGCCATCTGTGGGCCAGCGATTTCGTTAGGTCTCTCTTTCTCCAGCAAGTGCTGAGGATACTAGCATCCAAGACCACTTCCGGTGACAGCTGCCTGGGCAACACAGTCACAAAAATGACGCCAGTCTAACACGGACATCCTCAGTATTACTGGTTTTGTTGTACTTGCTTTTATTTCGATTCGTATATCATGATTTTTATTGGAGTTTCATTACGATATATGTTCTGTCTAGATCTTCTTATTTTTATCTAGATCTGATTCTTGTAAATCTGTTAACAGTTGTATTATGAAATTGCCTTCTGTTTACATGTCTGTGA